AGGGGGCCTGCTTCTCCCTCTCCTTCTGCCTGCCGCTCCCCCTGCTTGTGTTCTCTCTCTCTCTCTGTCTCTCATAAAAACAAAAACCAAAAAAACAAAAACAAAACTGTGAAGAGAAGGCAATACACCTTAAAAAAAAAAAAGCAAAGTTATAAAATGGTAACACATTATTAATTTTAAATATGTCTGTGTAAGGATAGGCTCCCCACCTCCATACAAGGCTTGCACATGATGATCTACAGGATGGATGCTTAGGCGATGCTGAGGAACACAGAAACGCCTCAGAGTTCTTGCCCTACAGTTACTAGATTTTCACATGAAGACACGTACACCACAGATGAGTGTATTAGCTGTACAGCATGGTGGGTGATTATTTACTGTTCATTAAGTGCAAGCGGATCATCCTAACGGTCTTCATCCTCATGTCTTCATGTGGCGTGGGCTGAGGCGGCGGCGGCCTCCGGGGTGGCCGAAGCCAACAGGCGCACGAGGTGGGAGGGCAGGCGGGAGAGGCAGGCACGCTGGGTGTAACTTGGCGGAAATACATCGTAATTTCTGTCTGGTTTGCTTTTTCATTCCTCTGAGAATGTTTCCATGTGATACCAATCCTTCTTCGGCCATTTGCTTTAGTTTCACGGCCCATATCCTAGAAGGGTCGCTGCCATAAAAGATATCGAAAGCAGTCTTGACTAACTGGAACCCTTCTGTCAGATTCTCTCGTGTCTGTTCGTTTCCTGGCCCGGCTTCTTCTATATCCTCTCATTGTCTGGCCTGGGTTCAGAAGCACTCACCTCCATCACGTCATCTGGTGTGATGTCTGTTAGCCCTCGAATTTCTCCAAAATTCATCTCTTGATACCCCTCCCCCCTTACCTTTCTTGCCAGATCCATAATCTCTTTCATGATCTGATTGGCTCCATCGTAAATCCCGTGTCCAACATCTGGACACAGTTTTCTTCAGCGGGCGTCGATTGTTTCAGGCTTCATGGCTTTCATGGCTTTTTCTGTAACAATGATGGCATCTTCCAAGGTGCAATCCTTCTAGACCTTCATGATGTTCTCTCTCTGAGAGAGAGAGAGACTTCCATAGTGTTGACCATCCTTCCCATGGAGTACCATGTGTAATGATCCTTAAAGGTTCTTCTCCCCTGATCTAGAGGCTGAATCAGAGACGTTGTGTTTGGGGGCAAGTAGACCACTTCGATGCCTTGGGTGTTGAACTCATGGGGTTCTGGGTGGCCAGGGGCATTGTCCACTATCAAAAGAGCTTTATTATTTATTTATTTTTAAAAGATTTTATCTATTCATTTGAGACACAGGGATACAGAGAGAGAGCATGAGCAAGGAGAGAGGCAGAGGGAGAAGCAGGCTCCCCGCTGAGCCAGGAGCCTGAATTGGGGCTCGATCCCAGGACCCTGGGATCATGACCTGAGCCAAAGGCAGACACTTAACCATCTGAGCCACCCAGGTACCCCTCAAAGGAGCTTTAAAAGGCAGTCTCTCACTGGCAAGGTACTTCCTGACTTTAGGGACACAATCAATCCAGAAAAGTGTTCTTGTGGTCCAGGTCTTCTTGTCGTACAACCAAGATGGCAGCTGGTGTTCGTCTTTTCCCTTTAAGCCTGGGGGTTAATAGCTTTATAGATAAGGGCAGGCCTGATCATAAATCTGACTGCATTTGCATAAGAATGTAGAGCTGGCCTGTTCTTCCTGCCTTGAATCCTGGTGCTCGCTTCTCTTCCTTACAAATAAATGTCCTTTGTGGCATTTTTGTTTTTTTTCCCCAGAATAGGGCACTTTTAGCTGCATTAAAAATGTGTTCAGGCAGATATCCTTTCGCCTCAATGATTTTTTTTTTTTAATGGCATCTGGGAACTCATCTTGCAGCCTCTTATGCTGCTTCTCCTGTTACCTTGACTTTTTTTAAGCCAAACCTCTTTAAAATTATTATACCATCTTTTGTTGGCATTAAATTCTCCAGCTTTAGATCCTTCATCTCCTTTTTGCTTTAAGTTGTCATATAATGATTTTTATTTTTCTCATATCCTATTGGAGTCTGTGGGTATGCCTTTCTTACAACAATCCTGCACCCACATAAAAGCTGCATTTTTGATACACGATAAAAAGGTATTTCACAAAAAGCGCAAGCGTTTTTGTGCACAGTGATGGCTTCATGAATTTTTTTTTTCCACAGTGCTCCGTACTCTGGATTCATTTATCTTGAAATGGGCAATCACAGCCACAGACCTCAATCTCTGGTGCCTATCAAGTAACTAAACATTTCCTTGGGCGCCTGGGTGGCTCAGCCGGTTAAGCATCTGCCTTCGGCTCAGGTCATGATCCCAGGATCCTGGGATGGAACCCCGCATCGGGCTCCCTGCTCCGCAGGAAGCCTGCTTCTCCCTCTCCCACTCCCCCTGCTCGTGTTCCCTCTCTCGCTGTGTCTCTCTCTGTCAAATAAATAAATAAAATCTTAAAAAAAAAAAAAAACATTTCCTTGTAATGTCATGACTTATCTCTGCTTCTTGGGAGCACTTCCAGCATCACTAGTGGAATTCGTATGGATCCCATGGTGTTATGCAAATAGCTTAGCGTATTGCACTAAACATGGTGAAAAATACCGAGAACCAGGAGAGATCACTTTTTACTGTGATACGCAGTTTACTGAAGAGATGAGCTGCTCATGGGGTGGGGGCGGTGGTATGATTAGCATCACATGTGGTGTTTTAAGTGGACCCCTGCAACACTTGAGCTCACTGCAAGAGCAACGGGAGGTGGCTCTGAAATTTACAGTAGTGCAGTAAATACTGCAGTTAACTTTCTGCAGTTATGATTAATACTGCATCTTTATGTTTACGTTTCTTGACTGAATGGCACATGTACAGCCTGTGTGTGCGTCAGTTTTGATAAATTTTGACTTTTTATAATAGAGTTGTGTGTGTGTGTATATATATATATATATTTTTTTTTTTTTTTTTTTAAGATTTTATTTATTTGACAGAGAGAGACACAGCGAGAGGGGGAACACAAGCAGAGGGAGTGGGAGAGGGAGAAGCAGGCTTCCCGTGGAGCAGGGAGCCCGATGCGGGGCTCGATCCCAGGACCCTGGGATCATGACCTGAGCCGAAGGCAGACGCGTAACGACTGAGCCACCAGGCGCCCCAGAGTTGTGTATATTTTATGGTAATAAATGATAGAATAGTGTCTACATACGTTTTATGCATTTATGACATACCTTTTTCTTAAATTTTTTTTTTTTGATATTTCTAGGCTAAGTGGTTCATCTGTACCTTTTTTCAAGTTGCCAAAAATTTTCAAAAAGGGGCGCCCAGGTGGCTCAGTCGGTTAAGTGTCCAGCTCTTGGTTTTGGCTCAAGGTCATGATCTCAGGATTGTGAGATTGAGCCCCGCGTGGGGTTCAGTGCTGGGTGCGGAGCCTGCTTGAGATTCTCCCTCTCCCTCTGCCCTCCCCTCCGACTTGCATTCTCCCTCTAAAAAAAACTCCAAAAAATATTCCAGTATATTTATTAAAAGAAATCAATGTGTAAGTGCATCCACTCAGTTCAAACCCATGTTGTTCAAGGGTCAACTGTATTTTCTCTGGGTCCATGGTTTGTCTTTTCATTGTCTTTAAGTTGTCTTTCACAGAGCAGAAATTTTTAATTTTAATGAAGTCCAGTTTATCAATTCTTTCTTTCATGGCTCATACCTTTGGTGTTCATCTAAAGTCTGCCAAATAAAAGGTCATATATGTTATTCTCCTGTGTTCTAAGACTTTTATACTTTAGTGTTTTACATTCATGTGTGTGATCCATTTTGAGTTAATTTTTGTGAAGGATGTAAAGTCTGTGTCTAGATTCTTTTTTTCACTTGGATGTCCAAGTGTTCCAGCACCATTTGTTGAAAAGACTGTCTTTGCTCCATTGTATTGCCTTTACTCCTCTTTGAAGATCAGTGAACTATATTTATGTGGGTCTATTTCTGTGCTCTCTGTTCTTTTCCACTGATCTGTTCTTTTGCCAATATCATCGTGTCTTGATTACTAAGGCTTTATAGTGTCTTGAAGTCAGGTACTGTTAGTCCTCCATTATTATTCTCCTTCAATATTGTATAGTCTGTTCTGGGTCTTTTTTTTTTTTTTTTTTAAGATTTAATTTATTTATTTGAGTGAGAGGAGAGAATAAGCAAGGGCAAGGAGGAGGGGCAGAGGGAGAAGCAGAGCAGGGAGCCCGACACAGGGCTTGATCCCAGAAACTCAGGACCATGATCCGAGCGGAAGGCACCCAACTGACTGAACCACCCTGTTCTGGGTCTTGGGTCTTTTTCCTTTCTGTATAACCTTTAGAATCAGCTTGTTGTTACCCATAAAATAACTTGCAGGGATTTTGATTGAGCTTGCACAGAATCTGTAGGCCAAGTTGAGAAGAACTACCATCTTGACAATATTATCTTTCTGTCCATTAATATGGCATACTTCTCCATTTATTTAGTTCTTCTTTGATTTCTTCTTGCAGAGTTTTGTAGTTTTCCTCATATAACTCTTGTACATATTTTTGTTAGATTTATACCTAAGTATTTATACCTAATGCAAATGTTATTGTATTTTAAATTTCAAATTCCAGTTGTTCATTGCTAGTATATATGAAAGCAATTGACTTTTGTCTATTAACCTTGTATCTTTAGTCCTGCTGTAATCACCTATTAGTTCTAGGATTTTCTTTATCGAATCTTCAGGATTTTCTGCATAGATGATCATGTCATCTGCGAATAAAGACAGTTTTATTTCTTCCTTCCTAACCTGTATACCCTTTGTTTCCTTGTCTTACTTCATTAGCTAGGACTTAACAGTATGACATTGAAAAGCAGTGGTGAGAACTCACCTTGTTTAGTGGGAAAACTTTGGGTTTCTCGCTAGTAAGTATGAGGATAGTTGTAGGTTTTTTGGTAGATATTTATCAAGTTGAGGAAGTTCCCTTCTAGTCCTTGTTTACTGAGAGGTTTTTTTTTTTTAAATATGAATGGGTGTTGAATTTTTTCATATGATTTTTCTGCATCTATTGTCATGTGATTTTTCTTCTTTAGCCTGCTGTGATGGATTGATTTTAAAATGTTGAACCAGGGGCACCTGGGTGGCTCAGTCAGTTAAGCGTCTGACTCTTGATTTCAGCTCAGGTCATGATCTCAGGGTTGTGAGATCAAGCCCCACATCAGGCTCCACACCAGGTTTGGAGCCTGTTTAAGAGTCTGTCTCTCCTTCTCCCTCTGCCCCTCCCCCCTGCCTCCCTCCCTCTCAAAAATAAATAAATAAATAAATAAATAAATAAAGTAAAATAAAATATTAAACCAGCCTTGCATACCTGGGATAAATGCCACTTGGTCATGGTGTACAATTCTTTTTATACATTGTTGGATTTGATTTGCTAATATATTGAGAATTTTTGCATTTGTTCATGAAACATTGGTCTGTAGTTTTCTTATATCTTTGTCTGGTTTTGGTTTTAGGGTAATGCTAAGCTCATAAAATGAGTTAGGAAATATTTCTTATGTTTATACCTTCTGAAATAGATTGTGGAGAATTGGTGTAACTTAATTGGTATAAATATAATTCCTTAAGTGGTAGAATTCACCAGTGAACCCATTTGGATCTAGTGCTTTTTCTTTTAGAAAGTTATTCATTATTGATTTCAGTTTCTTTAATAAATATTCTTCTATGTCTTCTTCACATGTGAGTTTTGTCAGATTGTGTCTTTTAAGGAACTGGACCCTTTCATCTAGGTTATCAAATTTGTTGGCAAAGAATTGTGCAGACTATTCCTTTATTCTTTTTATGTCTGTAGGATCAGTAATGAT